TGAACCCGTGGTTACCGAACCTCTTAGTGCTGAAGAACGCCTTAAGATGGAGGAAGATCCTGTGGATGAGCCCCTAGAAGACGTGAAGCGAGATCGACTTCAGTCAATGAAGCGCTCGGTCTTTGGGTTTGGGGTAGGGGGTACAATAATCGAGCGGATTGTACGATATACCCATGAGCTCTTCGCACATGCGAGTGCTAAGCGGTTAGATCAGCTGACACGCACGCTCTGGGGGTGGAGTGGCATGATGGAGATGTGCACTCATGTGCGACAGAGTTGTGACGCTTGTCAAGCGATATCTGACGACTTGGGGAAGGAGAAGGGTCTCCTCCATGTATCATACACTGTGTATGTATACAATATTTTGTTCACGTGAATTCCACCATGTGCGAATTCACATCATAATATTGATGACACCAAATTACTGAAAACTGATGACAGGCCTGGCCGGCCCAACTCCTAGCCCAGAATTGGGGTCGGCCAAAACCTAACCCTAGAACCCTAGGGCTCAGTTCACAGTCCATCACAATCCCCGGCTACGGTTGCATGCCACACGACCGTCGTGGCTGCCACTGTATCCACTTTGTCTGAGCACCGCCGCCTAGCAACCTTAACTCCGTATACGTTCAAGGAAAGGAAAAGAAAAACGGTCTACCGATGTACACCTCGTGTGTACATGCAAGATAGACTTACTCTCCTCCCCTGTGGGAGGTGAAGTTCGGCCTCTCTACCTCCACCCTAGAGGATTTCTATCGGAACTAACGGCGCGCCGGCACCTCAACTCCATCCTCGGACAACTACAGCTCACCCCACACTCGAAGACGTCTCCCACGATACTTCGCCGACTGTGCAAAAGCAAAATACTTTTCGACCTGCCGTTTGAAGTGTGCCCGCGAGCAGGAGGCATATGTTTGGTTCCAGATCCGGGGACCAGCGGTGTGTAACACGTCAAATCCGCTTCATCACACCACATTTGCCACCGACCCCAAACCGAGCTCATAGCGGTGGACCATGTGCGTGCCTCCTTCGTACGCCTCAGGCAGTGGCCAATCGCCTGCTTGTAACCATCCTTGGAGTCACAAAACGGCGAGTGATACAACAACCAATCCTCAAAGGGACCAGTCGGCCTGTACCTGACAGTCGTCCGAGCATTTTCTTCTCTCTCGAGCTGCCCTACATGAGGCTTCAACTCAGCCCGCAAGAACTTGCGGTGCGTGCCGTCAGCCATCTCTACCACGTGCGTAAGTGGTGCCTACACTGACACCACCTTGGCCGGACCACCCCAACGTGCAGACAAATCGTGCGACTTGCCACAAAGCCGATACCAGACCTGAGAACCGACCGGCAACAATGGTACGTCCTCTCTTTGAAATTCTTGCGGTGCTTGCCGTCAGCCATCTCTACCACGTGCGTAAGTGGTGCATACACTGACACCACCTTGGCCGGACCACCTCAACGTGCAGACAAATCGTGCGACTTGCCACAAAGCCGATACCAGACCTGAGAACCGACCGGCAACAATGGTACGTCCTCTCTTTGATATTGGCGCGACTCTACTGTTCCAGCCGATCTCGCCGATCACGCACAGCCGCAACAGCGTCACGGACCATGGCTTCTGTGCCCTTTCAGACTCCAGCAAGGACAATACCCTGTCTTGTAGCTCCAAACGCTGCTGTCCATTGAAGTCCCTGCCCGTCATGTGGAAATATGGCGAGAACCCCGTGACTGAGTTGCGCGTGACGTTGTAAATGCGCACCATCTCATATACCAGGTGAAGCCACGCATGCGGAGAGTCATCTGCTGCTTCAATCTCTCTGCGAAACCAATACTTCATCGTCCTGATGAGTGTCTCTGGTCGCCCATTACTCTGATGACAATCCACTGTGATCCAATGCGGCTCAATGTTACGGCGTTCACAGAACGTCGCGACGTCTCCGTTCTGGAACATCTTGTCCGCATCCATCACTAGGCGCACAGGAGAGCCCCAAGCCAAGGGAACGTCGCGACGTCTCCGTTCTGGAACATCTTGTCCGCATCCATCACTAGGCGCACAGGAGAGCCCCAAGCCAAGGCCTGTTCCTCCATAAATCGTACCACAGAGGGCCCGTCTGTGCTCGGACTGAAGACTCTTGCAAACATCATACGAGTCTGCGTGTCTACGGCCAACAACACCTTTAGATCATGAAGCCGAGCGATGTAGAGCGGGCAAACGTGAATAACGTGTCAGGGATGAAAGTAGCCGTTGCGAGTCTTAAGAAGACGGCATCTACCGTTTTTCTTGCATGTGTCAATAAAACAGATAAATCATGAAGCCGAGCGATGTAGAGCGGGCAAACGTGAATAACGTGTCAGAGATGAAAGTAGCCGTTGCGAGTCTTAAGAAGGCGGCACGTGCCGTTTTTCTTTCCTGTGTAAAAAAGCAGATATATCATGAAGCCGCGCGGCGTATAGCAGATAAACTTGAACAGCGTATCAAAGCTGGAATGCTTTAAAGTGCGATCAGAGTAAATTTGACTGGTATAGAAAAAAACTAATTACTCGATGCTCAGGAGGTGAAGTCAATATGAGGGATTCCTGATACAGAAACAAACCTGTGAAGCACGACAATATTTTGGACTTGAACAGTTGTTGAATGGAATTCGTGTTCTTATATATTGCATAATATATAGAGATTTGTATTGGGAGATTGAGGAACCCCACATGGGCAATGCTTACAATAGTCAGAATATGTGAGAAGGAATATTTATACACAGATTGTTGAAAGGTGACAAGGGACGAACCTGCAGGGACAACATAGTTTACATTGGCTAAAATTCGTAAGAGACATGGAAAAAGGTAATAACGCGTGTGAAGAAATAGTACTGGTTGTGATTCAGAGATGCAACGTAGGATGGCATTGTACATAAAACTATATTGTTGTATTAACGATGATGGTACAGACACAATATAGAAAGAATTTATTAGAAAATCAGAGTACGTGGAGAACGATGGCAATGCCGAATTTTGCCATTATCGGACTGCCCAAGGTTTGTGTCACGAATTCGGTCTATGAAAGAAATAGAATTCATGGGACGTTGACGATGAGGAATATGTATCCGTGATTTGTTATACGGACGACTGTGAGAGGGTTCGGATGTCCTCGGGGAGTCCGTCTACGGCTGGAGTTTTCAGTCGGTGGAACTGAAGCATGCGAATGTTTATTATTCGTACAAGAGGGTAATTCCTAATTTGGCTGAATGTCTGATCGAACAGATTGAGGCCATATTTTGAAATCAGGAGGACAAGAAATCTTTTCCAGGTGTCTTAAATCCGAATCTGATGTTAAAGAAATAAAATATAGTTGATGTGCATATTTTACACGAGATAGTAAGACATATAGGTGTTGGAATGTAAACATACTTAAATTATGACCTGGTCTTTGTGAAGGTTTATAAGGAGACCGTAAGCCTCTGGCATTGTTTGGCCTTGTAACTTGTGAATAGTTGGAGCTAATGAACAGGAGAAGGAACTTGGCGGACGTTCAGTGTATTACCATTGAAGGCTTTCTTAATTTTCTTAACTAATGTAGTCTTATTATGGTCGAAATTTGTAGTGCCTCGTTTCATAGGCACAACTCTGTCTTCGGGGTACCCAGGAAAATCTGCACATCATCAGGAATAGTACATGTGGGGGTTGGGTCAAGTTGTATAATTACAAAATCTGGCGGTGGGATTCAAATAGGAATATCGGGCTCTGCATTTGAACTGATGTGGGTAAAGAAACATCGTCAGGAATAGCACATGTGGGGGTTGGGTCAAGTTGTATAATTATAAAATCTGGCGGTGGGATTCAAATAGGAATATCGGGCTCTGCATTTGAACTGATGTGGGTAAAGAAACATCGTCAGGAATAGCACATGTGGGGGTTGGGTCAAGTTGTATAATTATAAAATCTGGCAGCGGGATTCAAATAGGAAAATAATGTGGGTAAAAGCTGCTAAATTATCAGGCTTACTATACACGATATCAATTAATGATGCACGGGTACCATTTGCAAGACCATATTTGACACAGATATTAAGTAGTAAGTGCTATCAGTCGTCCTACTGTGAAAGTCTGATATAGTTCTGGAAAATAACCATGAAGATCTGTAGAATCTTTCTGGGATGTACTGTCAACATGATAATTTTTACTTTCGGAGTTTGCTGTGGGAGCATTACTTATAAGATTACATTCAAATTTAAGATAGGTTTCCCAGTAGCTTTGCTGAAAATGCTTGCTCGCACAGTATTAGCACCTTTACGTTCCATACTAGAAACGCAAGCATATCGAGATCTAAGCCAACCTAGTGGGTCACTTTTAACCAAAATAGGGGTATGTTGAGATATGAGAAAAGCTGTTGCATTTTATGGAAGTACCGGATTCGAATGAGAAAAGCTGTCGCATTTTATGGAAGTACCGGGTTCGAACTGCAATGAAAAGATAACATATGTATTTTCAGGGTTGCGTACTCGTATACGGTGAACAACATGGGCAAGTCTTTACCACCTATATTATGAGCTAAAAGGTTGGGACGATAAGGACACTGTAGTATGAACTTATGAAGACAAATTTGTTCAAGTTGCGGTAGTTGCTTGATATCACCCATAAGAACAAGATAAACACCACCAAAAGGATTTGCATAGTTTTCAAATAACTCCTGTGACCGTAAGTGAATAAGGAAAATTAGCACACAAAATAATCATCGATACTTCATCGATACCTAGTAAAGGTATCCGTCCCAGCTTCGTACATAGTGTTTGGCATTTAATGGCGGATAAGCAAGTGTATTTGTTACCACTTGGTAGGTTAATTATGAGTGACAATGTTTCACATTCGGGCAACAGTATAGAAGCTATGCCAGTGAAAGCCGATAATCTGAATACATGTGTATCTTTTTAACGGAACCGGGCAGTATTTAGTGTGAACGTCTTGCCGATTCCAACATCACTTTGTATCCATATGAATTGTTGTGTAGGTGAAATAAAAGTGTTGTCGACCCCAGGGTTCAATATATAGAATGAATCTTGTCATTAACCATCACGGATGAATAGTAATAGCTTTTTTTACTATTGAAGATTGTTTGGCGTCCAACCATGGGTTAATGTAAAAACAATCGGGATGACTGTAATAATCGAATATGATTTTATTCTCAGCTTGAGGTCTAAATTTGAATGGGATTGCGTTACATTGTTGTGGTTCGTAATTCACACTGTCAACTAAATTGAAACAAATAATAATATCCCTAGGGTGGCTGGTAATTTACTGATAGCGAAAGTATAATTTTCAGATGAGACTGGGATGTAGTTCAAATTTCGGATGTACTGTCGGAGTGGAATTAGAGTCTGTAGGTAGTACT